AAGTAATATCATTTTTGTTACAATTAATTAGTGATTTTCACGCCCAAATTTTAAGCAAAATTTGATTTGATTTGAATTTTAAATGATTTTTTCTTTTTTGTTAATAAACTTTTTTTATTAATTTTTTGTAAATTTTATTTAAATAAACAATTTTTTAGTTGAAATCTTTTATTTATAGGTTTATTTTTATCATTTTTGTAAAATTATCTATTTTTTTAGTATATAAGAACTATTAAAATAATTTATTTTTAAATATTTATATTAAACTTTTATAAGTTATTTTACATGATCGTCTTTGTGATAATTGTCATGTTATTTTTTAACATTTATGAAATCTTTGACAGAAAAGGATAAAAATATAATTTATATTATAAAGATGTTAAATTATAAATTCAATGATGATGTTCCTTTCTAAAAATGACATTTATCATAATTTGTATTTTTAAACATATTAGTTTATTTTTGACGCTAATGGGTAAAAACATAAATTGTAAATATGTTAAATTAAAATTTCAGTGAAGATGTACCCTAGATAAGTGACAATTGTCATAATCGTTATTTCTAAAGTTTTTTGAAATTTTTTGACGCATATAGGTAAAAATATAGATTGTAAATACGTTTAAGTAAAAATTCAGTGAAGTTGTACCATAGATATGTGAAAATTGTCATAATCGTTATTTTTTAACTTTTTTCAATTTTTTTAAAGTAAATAAGTAAAAATATATATTGTAAAGATGTTAAAATAAATTTAGTGAAGATGTACCATAGAAGAGTGACAATAAGTGATCTACATCGGGCCTAATTTTTCAAGCCCGGCCCGAAATTTTTTAAAAAGTTTTGCCGGCCCGGCCCGAACCCGAAATTTTTTTTAAAAAAATTTACCGACCCAGCCCGGCCCGAATTTATTTAAATATAGAAATTAATCTTTATAATTACTCAAAATAAAAGACATATGTTATATGTATATTAGTTTCAATAAATAAAATCAAATATTTTTATCTTACATAAAAAATTCAATATAAAATTGATAAATTTAGATATATTTAAAAATATATTCAAGGTTCGACCCGACCCGGTCCGAATTTTTTTAAAAATATTAGGCCCGGTCCGAACCCGATTATTTTAAATAAAATTAGGCTCGAACCCTACCCGAAGCCCGTTCGGGCTAGGCCTAACTTCGCAGATCTCTAGTGACAATGGTCATTAACGTTATTTTTTAACTTTTTTTGAAGTAAATCGGTAAAAATATATATTGTAAAAATGTTAATTAAAATTTCAGTGAAGATGTACCATAGAAAAGTGAGAATTGTTATAATCGTTATTTGGAACTTTTTTGAATTTTTTCAAAGAAAATAAGTAAAAATATATATAATAAACATGTTATATTAAAATTTCAGTGAAGATGACCATAAAAAAGTGTCAATTGTCATAATCATTATTTGTGAACCTTTTTGAAAATTTTTAAAGCAAACTTGTAAATATATATATTGTAAACATGTTAAATTAAAATTTCAGTTCGTTATTTAAAATATTTTTGAATTTTTTTGCCCAAATGATCTCATTTTTAGCCCAAGACCTTCCATCAAATTGGCTGGCTAGCTAAATAATTTAAAAAGTGCTAACGGACCTTTGAAAATTTTAACAATGGGCAGGCTAAAAACAACTTGTATTTGTTATTTAAAATTTATTAGTTAAACATTAAAAAATATATTCTTCATAACTTTTTTTTACCAGATTATCGATAACTGTTGTGGATGTTATCGTCGGAAAAATTAATGAGATAAAAAAAAAACTTGTTGGATTTGATTTGAAATTATAGGGTAGAAGTATTTCGTCCTATAATTGATCAAATTATAAACATCAGAATGGTTTTCTGCAAAAAGAGTTTATTTTGAATGTGCAATATTATCCTAGGAATTTTGATAAAAATAATAGTAAAGGTATTTCTGAAAAGGCCTTGGAAAAAGTGATACAACAAATATATTGAATGTTAAATAACGTAAAGAATTGTGTTCATTTGCCTGTGAATTCAAAGATTTAATAGAAATTAAATTAAACGGACGATGATATCGTATGAGCAGGTGAGGAGTCTAATGAAAAAGTAGAATAAGATAATAACTCAGAATGTGAATTGTGATAAAAAATGTAACAATTGTTTAATATGCCTGTATGAAATTCTTAAAAGATACAATATGCACACAAGTGCATACACTAATTTATTTTTCACATATGAATACATTTCTTCAAGTTAATTTCGAGAGAACATTTATTAAATTATAAAAAATAGGCTGAGAAATAATATAGACGAAGAAAAATTAAGATCGTATGAGAACTTTTAGTGGAGATTGAACTAAAAGATATTCTTGTTTATTTGCGCAAAGGTTCAAAATGAGATTTATCAACGTAAAAATTATATATTATCTTAATTCTTTTATTTAAAAATCATGTAATACATATAAAAAAAAACATTTAAAAAATAAATAAATATTGTTATTTTAAATTTTTTTAAATGGTATTTTAAAAAAAATAGGAACATTTTTGAACACAAAAAATTTGGATTCATTTTGCATGATAATAACAAATAATATGAGTAAATAATAAAAAAAATTTTTTATATTTATCATAAATATTTTGATCATAATTTAAATCGAATATTTTTTTATGCTTACTAAATTATGAAATTTTTAGTAAGGGTGTAGCGTTGAGACTGAACCATTTATTAAAATAAGAATTTTTTTTAAAAAAAACTTACTGCTGCCACTGAGGCGCTATAATCATTGAAATTTAAGAATAAATATATAAATAATACATTTTAAATTGAAATAATTTAAAGAACCAAAAAATCTTGCTATTGTTACAAATTTTAAATAACAATGGGAGAGAGAGACGGGGGAGGGTTAGTCATTTATTTTCTATTTTAATCTTTATTTTTAGGATCTTTTCTCAATTTTTTTCTTCTCAATTTTCATTTAATTTTTTTAGTATAACCTAGCAATAATTAATTTTGATAAATAAATTTATAAGTGAGCGCTCATGGTATATTATATTAATATGGGTGGAAATTTTATGTCCCCAAAAAATTTTCTGCAATTATATATCAGTACCCCCCCCCCCAAAAAAAAAAACACAAAATCTTACGAAAAATAATTCGAAATAATATTATTTAAATGTCAAGATGGATTTATTTCCTGATCCATTATATATATACATGGATTTCGAAAAGTTTTCTATGAGCGCGGTTAAAACTGTCATTGGTATGATCATTAATATGTTAAATTATTTTATTTTTTTTTTCAATTATGGGTCACATAATTAGAAAATGCTTTACCAATTGTGTCAAAGTACCCATAGAAAAATACAAAAGCTAGGTCTGGAAAGCCAATACAGAATCGATGAAGCCCTAAGCTTCTTTTGTGGCATGATGGACGGCTTAGCATTTGTTCCTTTATGTGATATGGGCAATGCTATGGCATTCCTGAGATCGGTTACTCCGACCAATGGTAAAGAAATTCTTGAATATTTCGATAAAAATTACATCAATGAAGTCAAGGGAGATCACAAGAAGCAATTCTCAATCACAGACACGTCGAATTGGGCCTCGATTTCCTCCAGAAACTTGGAACGTGAATGAGAGCACCTTATCTGATGAAGAACCCACAAATAATCAATGCGAAGATTGGGATCATCATTTTTCATATCTGGTTGAGAATAAACGCCCATCAATTTGGGTATTGATTAATAAAATGAAATGCGAGGTTGCTGCCGATAAAACCAAACTTGAACAATGGCATGTAGGTGGTTGGACACCAAAACAAAATCGCAGAGTTATAATACCCAGATTCGGTTAAAGAAACTTTGTGAGGAAGCTTAAATGTTCAACGAAATGCCATATTGCATTAAATAATTGTTGCAAAAATTCGGATTTTTTATAAATATATTTTTTAAAACAAAAAGTCTTAACCTCATCCCTTTTCATTCATTACATGCCTTAATTTTAAACTATTTACTTTTTTTTAAATTCCTTATTTTGGCCTTTTAATTATATGGTGCCAGCCGCAAAAAAAGAGAAGAAAAAGTAATGGGGATTTGGAATATTTTTAAAAAAAATATTTTAAAAAAAAGAACCCGAATAAAACGTGGGGATAATCCCCACGTTGGGATTCCGAGTCCCACATGATTCCATATCCCAATACGACATATATATATATATATAGTAAAGACAAATGAAAATAAAACATTTTTAAATTAAATTTTTATTCCCAAATTTCCATTGCTGAACGAGAGTTGAGATATTATTTTTCATTCAATTGAAATTTTATAAGACAGGAAAAAAAGTTGTTTATAAATGCGCATGTTTATTTGATTTCAAAAATTATTATTTTTTTAAAAAGGACTAAATGAAATTAGAAAATATTATATATCATGAACAATTTTAAAAATTAAAATTTTCATAATTCATAAGAAATTAATGTTCACGCCTAATCATGGCCAGCAAAATTTTTAGGGCCTGTCATACCTAATATTTTAAATATTATTCCCCTTCACGCTTGACAGTCCGGGCCCACCTCTAACTTTTCATTAATAACAACTAATTATATCAAAATATTAATACATAAATGAGATTTTTAGAGTATTTAATTCTAATTTGATCGGTCAGCAGTAAATCGATAGTAGTTGACCTGCCAGAATTAGATATACCCTGATCTTATAAACTCTAAACCTTCGAATATTATATAAGACCCCAGTATGATTTATGGGCATTTCTATTATTCCTTAATAGATATACAGAAGATAAGGATAATAAATCAATTTAATATAAAAACGATTTTGGTGAATATAGGTTAAATAAAAGTCGATTAACCAAGCCCTTGTATAATAATTTAATTTTTAAAAATGGTATTTGAATATATTGATAATTTAATAAAAAAATAATAAATAGAGACAGCAATTTAGAGTTAATTCTTTTGTGTTAAATTCTTATTCATGTAAAATTAAATTACCGTTGAGAAAATTATCGGTTTCCCTTTGCTCAATTTGGCCTGTATTCGTCGGAATTTCATCAGTTTTTTTGTTCGCGATGTTTTTATCATTATTTGTATTCGAATGGCGTATATACAATGGGAGTCTATTGAATATAGACCTAATATCTCTTAAGGTATTACCGGTTGATGTAAGGTTAGTATTATTAGTTGGAGAGCTATCATTGAGAGCATTTGAAGATGGGAGGGTAAGAGATTGTTGGGTAGAGTCAGAATGAAAGGCCCAACCCAAAAAACTTTGGCATTCTCTACAATGCAAGACAGACCAGCTGTAACTATTTGAGGGGAATAAAAAATATAAGTTTGAATTTAGAAAATTATTATTCAATGAAATAATCTTATTTCATACAAAAACCAGCTATTGAGATCTAAAAAACACTTTTTACATGTTGCCCGTAGCGACCCAAAATATTTTTTATAAGGAAATATATAAAAAATTCTATCACCATCCAGCCAGAAAAATATATTACACAAATTTCACGGCCAGAAAAAAAATATTTTTTTCGAGTTGACTATTCCGGTTTTTTTAAACTATAGCAAGGTCTGCTCGGGCCAGGCCGATTTCCGCATTATATAAATTTTTAGGTCTTATGTAAAAAAGAAAACTTATTAAATGTCTAAACATCACGTATATTTTAAAGAGGTAAAAAAAATTAAAGCTAATCACCTTTGTTTGCAAAACAAATAGGTACATCGGGGGCTTGATTCGTGCTAAAAAAAGATACAACCTGGTCAAAAAAAACTTGCAAAGATATTGTAAAAAAGACGATATTAATCATTTGTACCCGGTGAACCAAGTGAAATCGTTTGACCAATCAACGTCGACCCTTATATTTCTGATACGATTCACGGTAACGAACTCGTAGGCCTTGTCACTTGGATTCACGAAGGTGGATTTAGCCTGACGATTAGGGGGATTGAAAACGTCCTCTTTAAGGAAGAGAGTTGTGTCACAATATTTGCAAGCGAAATTTTTGCACTTATAAATTTTTTATTATATTGGCAGGTTTTTTTAAATTCTGTGCCAAATAAATACTATAGTCTAATTTTCCTTGTCAATTCTTTATCTTTACAAAAACAAAGAAAGTTTAATGAGTATAATGATTAATTTAAACGAGTATTATTTTGTATAATTTTGTATCAAAAATTGCAAATGAGATAGAAATCTAGCTTCAACTCAGGGAAATTGCCGTTATATCATTAAAATTGCTAAAAATCTGTCAATTATCACTTGAACCTGTACGATTTCTTATCAATAAAATAAAATTTTTATTAAAATATATTAAATTAACCACCTAATACATACTCAAACCTTTTAGCCAACCCTATTCCATATCTGTCTAAACTACCTTTAATCCTATTCCTTACATTAGTTATTATATATTTCAATTTTAAATATGTTACTGACAATTTAAAAATTTCTTAGATGAACATTATTTAAGTTGAGCTATTATATTATCAAAAAGATTTAGAATAAAGGTGTATACAAAAACAAAGCACATTTATGATTAATACAACGAAGAAAAAATATCTTTGGATTATTTGAAAAACAAATTATTTGAACTGGGCAAAATATAGGGGAAATTCCCCTTGTTATACCCCTAGATATAACACAATTTTAATATAGCTATGTAAAAAAAAATAATGATATATTAGGATAGTAATTATTTTGAATAATTACATATTTTAATAATCACTAATTTAAATAATTTATCCAGGGTTGGCAAGCCGGTCAAATAAGGTCAAACCAAGTCGAAGTCGAATATACTAAAATGTTATTTTTTAATATTCTTGTGAAAATATATCATACTAGCTGCTAACTTATCAAGAATAACGGGCAAATCAGATATTTCCCTTCGTTTTGATGATGGATAAATCAGAAATTTAACTTTTCGTCTACAATTTTTAACTTCTTTGTTTAAAATTGACTAGTAATTAGACACTATTTAAATTATTTTCATAATTGTTTTTATAAATATTCTTTCAAACAACACATTTTTATTCCTTTGGGAGTTAGAATTCATTCGTTTTCAATGAATTTATAGTGAGATTTATATTTAGAATATTTTCAATAATAATAAGAGGCTTACCTAATATACAAACTCCGTAAACTATAAATGATAGTTTTCCTACCTTCTTGATGTTCAATTAATTTTATCTATCAATTCCTATCATCTTCTTCCTCTTCTCCGTTTAATGGCGATTTCCAGGTTTACCCAGGTTAGCCAGTTTCCCCTCTAATTTTTTCTCTATTTTTGACAATTCGGAGCATCTATATTTATAAGATTTATTTTCCTCATATCCGAAATATCACTTTTATCCACGTCTTGGGCCTTACTCGAGATCTTGATCCTACTACTACCATCAAGGTGCATCACTACCCAGTCACCTTTTGTTTTACGTACCCAAAACATCTTAGTTTATTTCTTTTCATTACCCCTTTAATCACTTCTATTCCCATCCTCGCTCGCAATTACTTGCTAGTTTTTCTCTCTCTCAGAAATACCCCACATATATATTTGGCTTGTGAGCCACTTCATTGCCCATGGTTCACCGCCATAAATTAGACAAATACTCTTCTCCTTTACCTTCAGAGAAACATTTTTATTTGCTTGAATAAGAGTTGTTAAAAGATACTTTAATAAATCTAGATACAGATACATCATTTAACAACGTATCGAGTTACAAGATACAATTTTTCCCATGCTTATATAGAGGGTTAGGTTCGCTGTTGTTTTATAACAAAAACTTTTATTATGAGCACAATGTAAACAAGATAATAATAAAAAAAATGTCAATACCCCTATTTATATCATTCTTTCGAAAAAATTCTCCCTTAAAGTGAACATTTATTTTAAAAAAATCTTTACATTAAACTTATAATTTATTCATTTAAAGTAAGGAATATCTATAAAATTATTTTCAAAAATCTATTTCTAAAATAATTTTGTGCACCAATGGTAATGTTCTAATAATTAAATAAGATTTATATATTCCTTTAAAGTTCGAACAAGTTGAGCGTTTGCAGTACGTTTTTTAACCTGCATGATAAAAATATCCTTCACAATCTTGAACTGTTATCTAACTTAAATAGGGAAAAAAATAAAATTAAAGGAATATTTATATATTTTTTTACATATAAGTTTTATATTTTGTAAATAAGTTTTAATTTTATATAAAAGTTTTCATTTTATGTATAAAATTTAATATTTTATATATATTTTAATAATAAGAATTATTTGATATATAAGTTTTAATAATTTTATATAAAGTTTTAAAATTTTATACATATATTTTTTTTAGTCTTAATATCTTTTATTAATTATATATTTGTTTAAATTGCATGCTCATATGAAATAAAATGAATTTTGCATTTTAAATAGGTGTTAAATAAATGAATATAAAAATCATCTTAAAAAGGATCTAAAAACAGATACAGATACCCTAAAATAGTATCTAAATATAGATACAGAACCTTTTATAAAAGTATATCTAGATACAAATACCACATTTTTATAATTAGATACTTTAACAACTCTAGTTAGAATAGAAGACATCTCTCTGAACTTTTGCTTGTCTGCCCCTTGCCAGAATCTACACCACCATCTGTGCTTAGCATATCACACAAATAGCAAGGGAGACTATATAACCTATACCTAAAACGAATTATTCGTTATTCGATTCGAACAAATAAAGAAAATATATCATTCGAATAATTTTTTTTTCCATTATTCGATAGAATTATTCTGATTTATATTCATATTATTCAAAATTTATTATATATATTCGACATTATTTGTAAAATAAAAATTAAAACTTATGCAGCCCTGCGAAATTCGAAAACTTTAGAGTTAAAAAGCGATTCCAGCAGGTCTTTAATTTTGTTTATGCAAAAAAAGAAGATCCTCATTTAAAATGGGTGGTATATTATAAAATATTTTCAAATTTAATAAAATGATAAAACAAAAATAAATAAAGGAAAAACAAGAATATTTTTAAAAAAAAATAAAAAAATAAGATTACTACGGTCTGGACAGGTTATTTATTTGAGGGCCGTGATCCAGTCCTGTCCGTATGTAAGTCAGGTCCGGAATAAAGACGGGACCGCGACCTAGACTTAAGCAATTATTTAAAAAGAAAAATAAGTAAAAAAAATTTTAAAAAAATCAAGATTAATTTTAAAAATCCAGCTAAAGGACCTGCAATAAATGGGCCAATAACATGTAGGGATAACCCCCAACTAATAATGCCCCATTGACTAACGAAAGAGGTAGTAAAGTGTAAAGTATGGAATGCAATTGTAAAGTCGCAAACAAGATGTCCCCTTGGCCATTTTACCGAAAATTGTACAAACCGCTTAAACTATGGTAATTCATAGCACCAGAATGTTATAAAGGAAATAGAAATATAGTTGGCTGATATCATCACTTAAAATAATTTTCTAAATTCATTTATATGAAAATTAATCCAGCAAATAATCCGCAAATTATTACTTAATTAAAATTAGGTAAATTATAAAACTAAAAAATTCTGCATTATGACAGAATTTCAGAAAAAAACATCTATAAGAGAAAATTTTTTTTGCAAATTTGTAAATATTCAAAAAGAAGAATACAAATTTAAAAATCAATATACGTTTTATAATATAATAAAAAGTTTCATGTATTTTTATTGAATAGTTTTTGAATATTTTTTATAGGATCGTTCGGGCCGATATTTCGTCCTTTTCAAAATATCTGTTATCGGTCGATATTATAAAATATTCCGATCGGATAAAATGGCGTCTTAATTTTTAAAAAATTAAATTGAAATTTGATATATTTATTTATTATATAAATAGATTAATTATATTATATAAATCGATGATTTATCAATAAAAATATTTTATATACTTTTAGATTCATGAATATAAACTATAACTAATCATTATAATATATTTTAATGACTTATGTTATGTTATATTTAAATTATAGATGTTATGCTAATAAAAAGTAGGACGAATATATGTATATAGTGATGCAAAATCGCTCCTTTTGTGCCTTTTTTAAAAGGGCTAACTCAATATTTTAGCCAGAAAAATATTGCCTCGCCAATGGATGTCCTAACCTTTGTTCCATCTATGAGTATAATCTTCAGGCTTGCGTAATATATTTCTGGATAAAATACTGAGTTCGCCGTTTTTAAGATTTTGCAACACTAGATTGCATTAAAAATTAAAACGAGTAGTATCTTTACAAAATACAAAACAAGATATGATATAGGATCGGTAATCGTTCGATATCAATTCAATATCGGTAATATCGAATCGGCCTTAAAAAAAAGTGGTATCGATACATTCCTAGTATTAATCAAAACAGGAAAAGTCCCAAAGGTTTAAGAAAAAGTTTGATCAAAAAAGGAAATCAAAAAAAGAAAAATTTCCATGTAAAAAAGAAATATAACTATTTTTTTAAATTTTTAGTTTTTTTTATTTTTCTTCTTATTTTATTTAAATAAACTTTTGCAATACAATATCTGTATTTAATCTTTATATTTCTTAATTCTTTTTTTCTCATTATTTTCTTTAATTTTTTTGCTTTTTATTATTTATTTTTATTTTAAAATTCCACTTATTTATTATTTCTCATTGGAATACAAATTTTTTATTTTTGCATATCAAATTGTTTCATTACAATTACGATGTATATACAGGGTTGCCATGTCTCCCCCCATCAGTGGGAGTCTCCCACAATTTTTTAGTTTACCCACATACATCTCACTCCCACAAAACTCCCACAATTAGAAATCTCCCACAAAAAGCTCCCACAATTTTTTAATTTCTCCCATTTTTTTTTAGCATTTTAATGTTTTTAATATATAAATAATAATTTTGAGAGACAGTATTTGATATTTTTATATTTTTAAAATAAATTTTAAATATTTATTCGAAAAATATGTCTAGTTCTTTTATTTTATTTTTCCGCTCTAAAATATATTTTTTATAAAATTCTCCAATTCTCCACTCGACATTTTCAAAATTTTCGTGTTAGAAAGAATAGAAGTTAGAACAGTATGTATAATTATTATAAATATATTTTAAATTACTTAATATATTTTATATCGTTATCTAGAATTGCAGTGCTCCACTAGTTTCACATGTAGGAAATCTACTTCATGTAGTTAATATTCAGTTGCAATCAGAAGATTCTTTTTATTGATAAAGATTCACAAAATCATGCTACAGCTCTGTTCATCTCAACAGTTAAAAATAGATAATAAATTTTATGGCGCTATTGCTAAAAATATCATATTAAAATGTTCAAATATTACTATAATTAATGTATTTTTAAATGAAGCAAATATTTTTATTAAGACAATTTTAGAATATTTACAATCAAGATTTGATTTTAATAACTCTATTTACAAGTGTAATATTATGACCTTGGAACAGAAACCATCATTTGATGGTTTTTGTAATTTAATAAATATATTAAAATTACCGATAGACATTGAAGCCTTGTTTGAAGAGATTGTAATTTTTTCCATTTTTTATGATTCGCCAGAATACTTAAAGTTAGATGGTCTAAAAGCAGAGGAGAAATGGGTGGAATTTTTTCGTAATAACAATAAATCCCCATGATTGGAAAAAATTTGCTAGTATGTTTTCTCCTTACCTCATTCTAATGCCTCATCGGAGCGCATTTTTAGCCTGATGAGAACTGCCTGGAGAAAGGAGAGAAATCGAATTGCTTTAACAACATTAGAGGCCGAGTTAATGGTTAAACAAAATTATAAACGACGGTAAACGTTTAGTTCCATTATTTAAATCTCAAATAAAATTTAATTAACTATAACTATTTGACTTTCTATATTTTATAAAATCTTATTTATACATTTGCATAAAATCAAATAAATTTATTTTTTACATTGTAAAATTATTATTTTGAATATTTTGGCAAATCATAAAAATAAAGAAGCACTACAATCTCCTCAAACATGACATCATATTAAATCTTATTAATAATTATCCGATAATAGTAATAATATTCTTACTTTGGTATTTCTGCAGCATAATTTAGTGAACCTTTATTAAATTATATTCTTCTGATTGCAACTGCATATTAACAGCATATATATGAAATCAAAACATCATAAATATACACTATAACAACTGACAATGGGGGCAAATCTTATTAAGATGGTAAAAATATATATAAAGGATAGATGATAACAATCAAATGTCTGAAAATGATGAAGAAAAACAAATACAAAATATAGATAATTTGAATGATGTTTATACTAGTTTCACAAATGTACCTGATGATTTAACAATCAATCTTAATGATTCTCAATATAATATTATAAATATAAGATGTGTTTTTCATACCTTATAGCTTGAGGTAGATCATGCATTTAAAAATTGCTCAGTTTCTAATATTATTATTAAAAATCGTAGTGCCTGCAAGAAGCTAAGGACAAAATCGATATCAATCATACTAAAAAATTTAAACTTAATAAGACCTATATTGGATTGTCACAGATGGTTATTAACCTATGATGCTAGAGAGATTAAATAAATTAAAAGATATGTGTGAGGAATTATCAGTATCATACAGTGAACTTTATTTTACAGCTTTGGGATGGGAAGCAATTATAGGGTTGATAAATATCCTAAAACCAATAAAAGTAGCTATAGAACTTACAACATGAGCAGTTAAATTCAGAAGATTTTCATGGCATATGGCTAAAAGTCAAATTAGAAATTTCTATTTTTACTTCATTCTTTGCTGGTTCAATAATAGAGCTATAAATTTTAGAGAAACAACTTTTAAACAACAATGCCTTTTTATGACTATATCTAGATTTAAGGTATATTTTAAATATATATCTTATATAAATTTAATTAATAATTTTATTTTACTTTATATATTTTTCTATCTATTCATAAAAAATAATAAGATTTTTTTAATGGTATTATCAATTTTTATTATATAGATATCAAGTGCTTTTGACTGAAGAAGAAAAAATCAAAGCTAGAAAGCATATTATTAAAACATGGCATAACATGGAATTAAACTTTGTTATAAGAGTGGAGGATTCTAGTGAAAGAATCAACGCTGGTTAATGTATCTTCATCTGAAGAGGATTTAGTAGAAAGTCTTCTTTAAAAAAAATTGATAATAAACAAAATCTGTTATAAAAATCGAAAAATATTAAAAATATTTTAGTTAATTTTTCTAAAGAACCTAAGTTAAATAAAAATATGAATATTTTAGACTATTGGAGAAATCAGAGTAATTGATACCCAGAATTATGTAAATTGTCTTATATCATACTGGCAGCGCCGGCTACCCTAGTTAATGTGGAAAAATGTTTTTCAATAATTAAATTTATACTTAGAGATGTAAATTTCCTTGGAATGGTTCAGAGGAAATTTCTTGGGGAAAAAAGTAAAAATTAGGGAAAATTAAAAATTACCACAAAATACACTATAAACCTTTCAATTTTTTTTATTAAATAACTTTATTAAATTTGGAGATAAGGGAAAATAAAATAATTAAAAAATAGTCAAAAATACAATGTAAACATTTCATTTTTTTAAATAACTTTATTAATTAAAATAAGCAGAAATATCATCATTATCACTTGATATTGATAAATCGGAATCTGAACTCTTTTGATATATCCCGAACATGATGTCGTGATCCTTTAAATATATGTTATGCCCAATTGATATTAATTTTTCGACTCTTTCATTCTTTATTCTATTTTTTGTTTTTGAATGAATTTTTCCAAATGCTGACTAGACTCTTTCTGACGAGTTCCTAAAGGGTGGTATCAAAAGACATCTTAATGCCACTTGACAAAGGGGGTTGATTTTTACGCAACCCTTTCCACCATATGAGTGGTTCCCATATGCCAGCTCCTTTATAGAAACCTTGTTTTGTATTCTGCTAAATTACATATAATTTTTCCAATATCGCAAATTTGGCCTAAAATAATATTAAATTTAAAGTTACTGTTAACATGCCATAATATCTACGATCCTGAAGATTTGTAACATAATGATATTCTTGGCAACAAAATTTCTTTCTTATTAATATGCATTTTAACAACTTTCAAATGATTTTCATTAAAAATAAAAGTTGATGAATTGAGTTTATCTTTAATATCCCAAATTTTCTGGTGTCAGATAATACCGATGTATCCTATTCTACAATTATAATTTTGTTATAAATAAATTCAAAAAAGTCAATCCTTCTTTGTTCAATATAAATACGTCTTCTTGTTTGTCTATAAATAAATTTGAAATTGCAATTTCTTGCAAAACTTCCTTAGTTTTCACAATACTTTGCAACATTATAGTAAAACTTCCCCATCTTGTCGGACTTGGAATTTTTAAGGAAGATTTACATCCTTTCAATACTTGTCTTTAAAAGTTGCCAATAAAATACCATTAAATTTTTTATATTTAATTATTTGTTTGGTTTTTTTTGATGATCTTTTCAATAAAAAGTATGGCATAAATCTTTAATAAGCTGGTTCAAGCTTGTGTGGCACATTCAAAGCATTCAATATAATTATAATTTGCCTTAACAAGACTCCAGACCTTTTCCATATTCATTGCATTAACATCTAGTGCGATAAAATTTTTTACTACTAATTTCTTCAATTACCTTATTCAGCTCAGGTGTGATATAATCACCAGTGTGAGCACTGGATCCTCTATCAATGGGTTTAAAGAAAATGGGTTCTGGAATCATAATTATGAAATTTAAATTATAAATCATAAATTTTGAATTAAATTATTATATTTTAAAATATTAATCATAATTTTTGCAATAAAATATTATATTTATATTAAGAAAAAATTTGGGAAATTTCCCGGGACCTTTACATCTCTATTTATACATCGAGTGAGACGAATCTTGAAAATATAATTGTGCAGCTTAATAAAAAAAAATTAAAGTAAATAAAGTTAAATATTGTTCATATTAAAATTAATCATTGATACTTATTTGTGATATGTATAAATTAAATATTATTTATAATGTGCAATTAAAAAAATGAAGGTTTTATGTATGTTTTTTCTTTTAATGATGAAATAAAAAAAAATATTCTTCCCTATACATAATTCGAATAAAGATTTTAATACAAAAGTGTTCAAACAGGTTTTATAGGTTCGGACTGAACATATTTTTATTTTTTACGAACCGAACCTAAACCTTGAACCGTTATTTTTATCTGAACCTGAACCTGATATTCGTTTTGGTTTAGATCCCTGCTCAGAAGTATTAAATGCTTATTGCTTAAATATTAAAATTTCAAATTTAAGAATATAATTCATATGATTATATTTTATAAATTTACATATCGTTTAGTATTATAGTTCAAATTATTTTAATTTTATAAAGGTACATTATAACCAAGTGATTATTTTAATTCAGCAATTGTAGTGATAATATGAAATGCAAAAAATACTAATAAAAAAAATTTGAATACCAATGAGAAATAAAAAGTGATATTTTAACAATAAAAATATATATTTTTAAAACGACAAAAAAAACTTCAAAAATGAGAAGAAAATATTAAGAAAATATTAAGAAAAATAAATTATTTAAAGAGAAGCAAAAAGTTAGAAATAAAATAAGAAAAAATTAGAATTTTTCCTTATTGATTGATACTTTTCTTTTTTTTTTGATTGGACCGTTTTCTTTTTTAGTTGGACACTTTAGTTTTTTAATCGGACTTTTTCCTAGCCTTTGAAACTTTTCCTTTTTTGATTGAACCTTTTTCTTTTTTGATTGACACTCTTCCTTTTTTGATCGGACCCTTTCCTTTTATGATTGGCACTTTTCCTTTTTGGATTGGGACTTTTCTTCCTTTGAATGTGAAACCCTTAAAGTATGTGCGGGTAGATCTCATAAATATCAATTTCTACGTCGTAAGAAAATATTAGCTATTTTTTAAAAATAAATCTTACATTATGTAAAATGTTCAATTGAGCCCTGAGCCTCAAAACAATGTTATCTATGGTGAGAAGGTTGAGACATGGTTCGTAATCAATAGGGACGCACTTGTTAATCCAGCAAAAAAGGCTGAAAGGGTCTGTGGGAATTGAGTAAGCGGTTTTAGCTAAGCCTTTCCAATTGACGAAAATTTCTTTGATTATCAATTCTACCAGACAGTTCTAATTTAATTGCACATGATATAGAATATTATATTTGATTCCTTTAATTTTCTTTCTCATTTTCTCTTATTAGTTCATAGTAAATCAGGTGTATGGTTGGAAACTTTCTTACATAATGGAATAAAAATACCTAAAAAACAAAATATATTGAATAAATTTTTTTAACTATATCGTATTGTTTGTAGACAAATGCTGGCCAATGAGTTAGGAATGATGTTGCATTGTTAATCGGGTTCATGGTTATATGCTAAAATTTATATATATATAAATAAGAACTCGTTAAATAGCAATATTGCTATTAGCTATAACATTTGTCATTTTAAAATATATTTTAAATATAAGCAGGTATATATAGTACAGTGGCGTCACTAGGAGAGGGCGCGCAGGGGCTTGAGCCCCCTAAAAAATTTGAATAGCCATGTGAAGCAAAAAAATTTTTTAATGGCTCCTTAATACCCCTTGAACTAAAAATAAATTTTTTTAAATGAATACTATTTTAATTATTAGATTAGATTAATACATATAAATTATATTTTCACTATTTGAGCTCGCCAAATTCTGTGTTTAAAAGAGAATACCAATATCACTCACTAAATATAAATCTAGCATTAAGAGTTGAAGCTTAATTGAATTTTATTATTTCGATTATTATATAACCTTAATTAAATAAGTATAATCATTTATTAATTGAAAATTAACAAATTCAATATTGTAATTAGCCAGGTTTAAAATCACTAATCAACTATATTATTCATTTTTAAATTAATTACCATGCCTCTTCCTAAAAATATTTTAAAATTCCAAAATAGTATAAACGATTTCTTTATAAAAAGTAAGTAGACATATAGTTTATAATATTCTATTATACATAATTGGTTATATAATAATAGGTAAAATGCAATTTTACAGACGTATGTTATATAATATATACAGTTAATATTTTAATAAATTTTAATGCTTATGATAATAAATATAAGTAACAATTCGTATCAGGTCAATTCAGCGAAAGTTTATCGCGAAACACTTTTTCGCGAAACTTTTATCGCCAATGTCGTTTATCGCAAAAAGTTTATAGCGAAGGTAAAATCGCGAAACCAATTCTGCGAATTCTATTTCAACATTTATAGCAAAGACAATTACGCTAAGCCATTGTCGGGAATTTATTTCCTAGAAACCTTAATCGTGAATTAATTAGAGCGAATACATTTTAGCGAAACATTTTACGCGAACACTTTACAGCGAATTTTTTACCGCGAATATGATGCGCGAAGTCATTATCGCGAGCGCATTACCGCGAAGCAATAAATATATTGAGAATGCATTTATTTAAAGGAAAACAACACTTTATTTATTATTTGATTTTTAATAAAAAATGATATGCTATTATTGTAATATTATTTTTGTTACAATTTATTAATGATTTTTACGCCCAAGATTTTAAGTAAAAAATATTTTTGAAGTTCAAAAAGGTTTTTGAACATATTTTGATAAAAAATTTAAATCTTCTTTGCAAATATATCTTTTTTGAGGAATTCTTTTGTGAAATTATCTATTTTATAAATATATTAAAGAGGTGGTTTTGTAAATAATTATTTTTAAAATTTTTATATTTAACTTATTTATGTTATTTTATATGATCATTTTAAGGATAATACTTCATTGTGACAATTGTAATATTCGTTATTTAAGATTTTTGAAATTTTTTGACTCATTTGAAAAATGGCAATTATCAAAATCGGTATTTTTAAACATTAGATTTTTTGACGTTAATAGGCAAAAATATGTATTTAACATGTTAAATTAGAATTTCAATTAGGATGTACCACATAAAAGTGACAATTGTCATAATCGTTATTTTTAAACTTTTTAAAATGTTTTTGACGTAAATGGGCTAAAATAGTATTAATAACATGTTTAAATAAAACTCCACTGAAGATGTACCCTAGATAAGTGACAATTGTGATAATCGTTATTTTTAAAGTTTTTAAACATGTTAAATTAAAATTTCATGAGGATGTACCATTGAAAAGTGACAATATCGTCAAGTTTTTTGACCAAAATGGGTTAAATTAAGTATTGCTAGCATGTTTAAATAAAATTTCAGTGAAGATGTACCCTATATAAGTGACTATTGTCATAATCGTTATTTCTAAAGTTTTTTTAAAGCAAATGGGAAAAAATATAGATTGTAAACATGTTAAATTATAATTTAATGAGGATGTACCATAGAAAAGTGACAATTGTTATAATCGTTATATTAAGCATTTGAATTTTTTTGACGTAAATGGAAATATAAATCGCTTACATGTTAAAATAAAATTTCAGTGAAGATGTACCATAGATAAGTTACAATTGTCATAATCGTTGTTTATAAAGTTTTTTGAATTTTTTTGTTACAAATAGGTAAAATTATAGATTGTAAACATTGTAAATTAAAATTTTATGACGATGTACTATTGAAAAGTGACAACTGTTATAATCATTATTTTTAAATTTTTTTGATGCAAATGGATTAAAATGTAGATTGTAATCTATTTTAACCATATGTTTATAAAAATAAACTCTTAACATTAAATTTATAGGATGTTGATTGTATCATATTACTAGATAATATTCATATGGTTTCTAAGTCATTTTTATATAAATCCTACAATGAATTCACATTCAGCACTATTTTACCACGAGTATACAAAAATATTTGCCAACAGTGAATGCAGGATTATTCATTTTTATAATGTAGAATTAAAACTTATTAATTAAAGGAATAAGATTGTGAATCCATATCATATAAGTGGGCATGACTAAAATACGCGCCCCCGATAACTACGCGCCCCTATTAAAGAAGCTTAATTAAAATTATATTATTACAAAATCGTATTTAGCTTCACAATGAGTTAGAAAATGTTTTTTTTTATTTAAAAAAAATGGCAACATAGTAAAATTTTCAAAAAATCATTTTATTACATGACTATCAAAGAAGAAAAATGAACGCAGAATCATATATAACTTATTAAAAGTAATCAAAAAATGTTAATATTAAATTTATAAATTATTTATAACTTATTGAGATTTTGAAAATACACTTAATTTCTCCTTTTTTGACTAAATTTTTATAAAAATTTTATTATGTTGTTATTTTTTTAAATCAAAAAAAAAACATTTTCTAACTCATCTTATGAAGCTAAATACGATTCTGTATTAATATAATTTAAATTAAGCTTCTTTGATAGGGGTGGCATAGTTTTTGGGGGTGCGTATTTTTGTCATGCCCCTTAAAAGTTTAGAAATTAAGATAAGTTACAAATATCTTTAATAATCACTGTGCATATTATTATCAAATTTTAAGCAGAATAAAAGGACAACGATTATGAGCATGAAAATATCGATTTGTTTTTTTGTTTCGACTGGAATTTTATTTTAACATGTTAGCAATTTATATTTTTGTCAATTGTGTCAAAAATAATTCAAAAAACTTTAAAAATAAAGATTATGCCTATTGTCACATATCTAGGGTACATCTTCACTGAAATTTTATATTAACATGTTAGCAATTTATATTTTTGCCCATTTGCGTCATAAAAATACAAAATCTTTAAAAATAACGATTATAATTGTCACTTATCTAGTGTACATCTTCACTTAAGTTTTATTTAAACATGTTATCAATACTTATTTTGGCCCATTTACATCAAAAAAAATAATGATTATGATAATTGTCACTTATCTAAGGTAATCTTCACTGAAGTTTTATTTAAACATGCTAGCAATACTTATTTTAACCCATTTTGGTCATAAATATTCATAAAACTTTAAAAATAATTAACAATTGTCACTTATCTATAGTACATCTTCACTGATATTTTATTTTAACATGTTTGTAATTTATATTTTTGCCCATTTTCGTCAAAAGAATTCAAAAAACTTTAAAAATAACGATTATGACAATTGTCACTTATATTGGGTACTTTACTGAAGTTTTATTAATACATCCATTTACGTCAAAAAACTTTAAAAATAACGATTATGATAATTGTCACTTTTATATGGTGCACCTTAATTGAAATTTAATTTAACATGTTAAAAATACATATTTTACCGTAAAAAAATCTAATATGTTTAAAAATCTTTTTTAACCTTATAAAATATTTTTGTTTAAAATTTTGGTGGTAAAAATCACTAATAAATTGTAACAAAAATAATATTACAATGTTTTTTTATTTAAAAAACATCAAATAAAAGAAATCCATTTTCATATTATAATAATCATATTTCATTTCATCATAAATATAAATGAAAAACATAAATAATATCATATGTTTATTTGTTGATAAATAAAATATTAACATTAAATATAAATAAAATAAATTATTTTAATAAAAATAATTAAATAATAATAGGCCGTGATATATTACGCGAAATATTTCACTATATTGTCTTCGCGATAATGATTTCGCTATTTAAAATTTCGCTCTAATGTATTCGCTTTATAGGTTTCGCTATAAAAAATTCGCGATATTTGTTACGCTATATTGTCTTCGCGGAAAAGTATTTGCTAATGTGGATTCGTGATAAAAGTTTCGCTATAAAATTCATTCGCGATAAAAGTTTGGCTGAATTGACATGGAACCGTAACAATTTGAATTCAATTATTTAACGCCATCTATTTATTTAAAAATATTATTAAAAATTAAACATTTTATTATTCATCCCACAATGGATGTAATAAGTTAGATATCTTTTCTTCCCCTTTTTTACGTGTTTTTAGTAAAGATATTTTTTTCTTATTTGAAAAACAGTTTTGAATTAAATTTTTAATACGGGTATATTTTTAATATTATTACAAACTACTATTATTTTAAGAGATAATAAACCAACTCGAGGTGGCGAGACAATTATATATAAAATCTTAATTGCCTTCATAATATCACTCTGGCTAAAATGTTTCATTTCTAATATGGCATCCTTGTCGTGTAAATAACTTAAGGCTTCAATATATTTACATAATTTCTTCTAAAGATTTTTAGTGTTTTTGTTTTATAAATTTATCTAACATAATAAATTCTGATATGAATTAACATAGTGAGTGTCATGGCTATGACTGCAAATTAGCCAGCATCTATTATTTGCGTGGCTATGTAATTTAAGATTATTACTACAGCTGCTGAGAGCATATGATTGCATATTTTAAATAAGCAATAATGGTCAACTGTGTAGTCGTTTATATATTATTAAAAATGGAAGATAATC